TAACTCCAGCAGGTATCAGTTTATTTTACAATTCAGGCTGTCGTGTTTATGTCTGGTTAATCCCGATTATTTCATGTATCTGACCTTATTCCAGAATATTTCAGGTTATTCCAGAATATTTCGGGTTATTCCAGAATATTTCAGGTTATTCCAGAATATTTCAGGTTATTCCAGAATATTTCAGGTTATTCCAGAATCAGGTTACGGGAGCTCGGTAAGGTGCGGTGTCGTTTTGACGTTTTCTGGCTACAATAATCTCGGGACAGATATTTAATTTTGACACCTCCTCTACAGGCACATATCCTCTACATGATGACACACATCGTGGTCATGGAAACTGTCTGCATTGCCGTGGCAACGGATAAGGATGTCACAACGACTGGGCCATCCCCTGTGGCGAGCTCCACTATAAGGCCACAGGCGTTTTCTGCAACTGCATGTCAGGAGGTGGGTGATGCTACCACAGAGTCACACGCCGATTCAGTGACGACAGCGAAACACCGCCTTCACGTACGTGTTGCAGGTTCCAGCGCGCCTCCAGCTCTCAGGCTGTCAGCTTCAGACTTCACCCTCAGCAGCTCTGCACACCGCCACAGCAGGTCTCACTGCCATCTTTAAAGCTTCCCCTTCACTCCTGCTGCTCTCCTTCTGTCTCTGCCCTGCAGCACCCTGTGCCTCACTAACAGCAGAGGAAAAGTGTTATCAGTTATCAGCTGTAATCCAACATCACAGCAAACAGCCCGAAGGCCGGTGAGTCGGAGCGCTGCACATCGAGCCAAGCAAAGCTGCCTGAAACATGAAGCGTGGCAGTGAGAGGCAGTGTTTGTCCTCTGAGCTGCACTCACAGCTCTGTGATCATGACAGAAGCCACTGCAGCACAAACACAATTACTCTGAGGTCCAAATAACATTACAGGCTCGTTTCCAAAGCACACGCTTGGCGCAGCATCCAGCTGATTCAGTCTGAAAGCACAAACCAAACATCGTGTTTCTGTCCTCGCACGCCCTCCGAGTAATGCTGGGCTCACACTGCGATTTTTGGCCCATTTTGAGCCGATTTTTGAGTCGTGCGAC